TTACGCCTAGGAGCTGGGTATTTATTTTATTTCTTAAACATCGCCTATTTATCTATCGGCCCCTAGTAGTTAACTTCGACTTGGCCCTGTCAGCGCGTCGCTGTGCTGACACCAAGTTATAGGAGTAACTATAGTTAGTGTATTCCTTAATAGCAACTCGTGTACGGTGCGTCGACGTGCCGAGGTACACAGTGTGTACTTGTGTACTAGCAGATCGGCGCGACATTAACATCTACGAAGATCTAGAAGTGGTAAGCGAGCGACGAGGACTGTCAGCGAGACCCTGGACTACTCGAGCTGTCCGAGCAAATCGGAGGTAAGTTTACGATAGGTGCCCTACCCGACATAAACACCTCACACAGGTGACAAAATAGATAAAACCGGCGTGTATTTCTTGTCCAGAATGCCCAAGTAAATACATAGGACAAACAGGTTGTGCTTTCCAAACACAATATAAAGAACCGACCAGATCCTAAACACCATTTTAAAAAATCTGCGTTTGCTCAACACCTTGTAGATTGTAATCACTAAATGAGTGATTTTAAGACCGGCTTGGAAGTTTTACATTATTGTGGGAAAGGTAATAAATTGGACACACTTGAGGAGAAGGAAGTGTATAAAATTAACATAAATGCAAAGAATGCATCCTTCATCGTTGCTGTACTGCACACTAACCTCACCGACCACTATGCCACAACCCTCACTATACATGACACTGCATACACACACATTCAACATTCTTCTTCACATTCACAATGAACCTAAGCAGTCTATTAAAAACAGCCAAAAGAGATTTTTACAGGGAAAGACTCAACCAGCACAATCAAAATCCCAAATTATTTTGGGGACTGATCAATGATCTTGCTGGCAGGCCATGTAATAAAAATTCATTTCTAATCAAAAAGTGCATTCCTAACACGTATGATCATACGCAAGCCTCAAAACATGTGATTACATACTTCTTTGTTTCTGTTGGAGAAAATTTATCAGATGCGGGCGGGGCCCCGGTGGTTGTTGACTCTGATTACAGACTGGACTACTTTCACTTTGAAAACTGTTTCTGCACCAGACGTACTACGACATATCTCTGGCCTGCATGGTGGCTCAGTTCCCAGTCTGGACGAGGTCTAGGCTGATTTACTCAAACAAAACGCATTCATAATTTTCATTCCGCTGCTACACCTAATCAATTTATCTAAAACTAGCTGTAACCCGCGGGCTTTGCCTCGTTTAACTTCTTAATTTTCAAGATTATCTCGTTCGCATGGCTCAATCACGTCCTGGTTGAAGTTTGTTCGCTACGCTCACTCACCTTTAGGTTGGAGCTCGTTCGCTACGCTCACTCATCTTTAGGTTGGAGCTCGTTCGCTGCGCTCACTTGCCTTCAGGTTAGCTCGTTAGCTACGCTAACTCGCCTCCAGGTTGAAGTTCGTTCGCTACGCTCACTCACCTTTTGGTTGCAAATTAGCTGTTGTCATAAATGTAAAGGAAATAATAGTGCTGCACCCTGTTGGTAATCCTTGTAACTTTAATGCTATTGAACATCATAGAACAGAACCAACTTGTTAATTGAAACAGCTGTTAAGATTCAATAATTCCATTTCTCATAAGGTTAACATGGGAAACTCCAGAGCCACTGGGGCGGAGCCCGAGAGGATTTTTGAAATAAGAATATGCCTATATGTTAATCGGGAATGTGAGCTATCATCATGCCAAATTTCAGCCCAATCCGACCAGTATTTTTCGCGTTCACTTGTCACAAACATACATCCATACATCCATACATCCATACATCCAAACTTTCTCATTTATAATATTAGTAGGATGACTGATATATTCCCGGCTCAATTTAAAGCAGCAAAAGTTATTCCTTTATTCAAAACAGGTTTATACAAACAATTTTAGGCCAGCACAATCTCATTGTTAAGCATATTTTCCAAGGTTTTTGAGGATATTGTTAAGGAACAGCTGGTGGAGTACCTTCAAAGACACAGCATACTGATACTATCTAATTCACAATTAGGGTTCAGAAAAGATAAAAACATCTCTGATGCACTTTTTGAAGTTTGTAAATCTATAAATAACTCAATGATAAATATCAACCAATCTATGTTCATGTTTTTAGATCTAAAAAAAAAACATTCAACTCAATTGACAGAAAGTTATTGCTAACAAAATTGGAACAGATCAGTGTCAGAGGCACTGCTCTCACATGGTTCAAAAACTATTTATCTGTCAGACATCAAGTAGTTTCCATCTGTGGTGTGAATAGTGATGCAAATTCTATTGAGTATGAGGTTATTCGGGGAAGTACTCTGGGGCCTATACTTTTTCTAATTTATATAAACAACATTTCTATACCTTTAGCAATTCGGGAGTGTCCCTGAACGCCAGGAAGGCTCACGCACACACACTCAGTCCCCACACACACAAGGACAGGGGATTAGGACCGGCCTCATTCTGTCCCGCGCTCCGTGAATTAGCCACAAGTGACAATTCCTTTATCAAATGTAAAATTTGTTAACTTAAATATTAAACTTAAAATAGTTAGCAGTAATCGATTCTGCTCATCAACACGAGAAAATTGATACCAAACACAATGTAGCCTTTATAAAACCTGAAATATATTGCAGTTATGTTATGTGAAGGAATATTTATGTAAATCATGGGTTGTTTGGTATCTTTTTTATTGTAATTTTCAGGGGAATTTAAATGTATTAACCGTTTATATTTAAAATTACATTTTTTTAAAGTTAGATGTTGATTACAAGTGGTGTCTAAAAGAACTAATAAAGAGAAAGTACGGCCGGTCTAGGGTGGCGAGGGTCGGTCCTAATCCTCTCTGCTCGTGAGGGTGAGTGTGCGTGCGTGAGAGCGGAACTGGCCTGGCATCCAGGGACACTCGCAAACTGCTAAGACTATAAACTCAACCTAAATGGTGAACTCTTTTTATTTGCCGACGACACAATAGTTTTGATAAAGGGTTGTTCATGGGAGGATGTCAAGTCCAAAGCTCTTGGTGACCTCTCTCACTTCTAAAGAAATGGTTAGATCAAAATGTGCTCTTACTTAATGTAACCAAGACTAAATTTCTTCCCATATCACTCAGTATCAGCACTGATTATAGCCTAGACAATAAATATGTGGTTATTTATTTTGACTACCGAATGAAGTGGACTGGAGCATGTAGATTTATGGAAGAAAAAGATACATAAATATATCGATGCTTTTAACCAATTGAGTGAAATTTTAGACGATAATGGCATAAAGCGAGCTTATTTCGCTTATGTGCAATCCTTGATTTCATTTGGAATTATTTGCTGGGGAGCATGCTATCACACCACCTTCGAAACCTTGAATGTAATCCAAAGCTTATTAGAGACAAGAATATTACCGGTCAGACATCTTTTTATCCAGTTTCTTCTTAATCACACATTCAAAAACTCGATTCTTACAGCAGTCACACATCATCACTTCACAAGATACTCACACAATGTTAGAATATCTGTTCCTCCAGCTACATAAATTAGTTCTAACTACCAACTGTTTTTATGTTGCTCAGATTCTCTATCGAAATTTAGTTCAAAAATATTATACTCAACACGTTTTTAATTTACCCTCATTACAGAAATTCAAAAGTCATGTTCTTGTTCTACTGCACTCCATTACCAAAGAAGAGGCCGAGACTTTGATTAGACCAAACCATACTTATCCTTGACCTTGATCCTTCAATCCCCTCACCCTCTTAATGTCTTCTTTTGATTGAACTGGCTGTGGTTGTCGTCGCCGACATTCTCACAACCGCATTTAAGTTTTCATTCAAATAATTAAGGCTAAAAAAATCGATCCCATATTCAGTTTTTCCCCTTCAAATTAAGTAGACTTATAACAACCAGGCCAACACACAGGCACCTGCCCATGTAGGCCTATCCCATAAGTATGGCAGATTCATCTGACAATTAATGTTGTACTAGTTAATCTTGCTCTCTGTTTTATTTATCTTTCCGTAATGATATTGGTTTAAACAAACATATTTCATTTATTTCATTTCAACGATAAATTGCGCATTTAAGTCCCACTCCTCCTTCAACACTGTTATCTGGAACAGCTGACCACCGAGCTGATAACAGAGAAGGACGAGACAAAGTCAAATAACCCGTGTCGAGTCTATCTACAACTGCTGCCGTGACGTGTCATGATAGCGCTATCGTGTTATTTTGTGTCTAAATGTTCCATGTCCCGTGTGGTGTGTGTGCTATGTGTGTAAATTATTTTGGTGTTTTTGACGTAAAGCTCCGACGATGTTGCATTGCAATGAAACATGTCAGCTTTGAACAACATTACATGAAGTTGGACTACTGACGGAGGTAAGCCTATAAAGTCATTATACGTAGTCCATGAACTATCAGAATGAATACTATAAATAAGTAGGCTATAATACATTATTCGGGGATATATCCCCGCAGCACCAAAACCTGAAGACTAAGCGAATTCCAACAGTTCTTTACTAAAATATTTCCTTATTGCCATTTAAATAAAATTACATTTAACAAGTACATAGGTTTGCTTCCACAGGGAAGAGAAATAGGGGTTTTCAATCAAATGTACAGGATACATTTGTAAGAATTAGAAGCAGACAGAAAAATTTGCATTTTATACTAAACCCCATGTTTATATGTTTTCTCAGTTACGACCTAAGGAACAAATATACGTAAGAGTTCCAGAGAGTTTGTATACACCCTGTATATAAACGAATAGTGTTTTTGACTTCTGGAGATATCAAAATGAAAAAAAGTAAATCGGTCTCAGGTCTAGGTCTTACCAAGAGACCTATAGTAATAACTACTTTCCTATAGGGATATCTGCTAAAACGTTGCATGAAGTCTTTCAGTCTTTGTTTGGATCATTTACAAACATAAAAACTAAACAATGCAACAGTTATTTTTAGAGACAGTTAGTACTAAAATATTAACTTAACAATTTTCTTTCTGATAACTTACAGCACTAGAGAACCTAGTTTGTACAATGCCTGGAGCGAGACAGTTGACTCTGATGTTGTCAGGGGCCAGGTCCACAGCTGCTGCCTTGGTCAAGCCTAGTAGAGCAGTCTTGCTGACAGAGTATGCTCCCAACAACTGTACAATAACAATACAATGTGTTGAACGTAGACAACGTTTAAATACTTGGTGACATTGAGACACCATATAGCTGTGTGTATAATAGTTTAGTTCAACAGTCCAAATCAGGGGTGAATATTTAAAATGATGATTGATATTATTTAAACATCCAGTGGGGTAACAGGCAATGTGGGGGGGGCGCCCGGGAGCCGAGGGAACCCGCGACCCGGTGAGCAGGATACGGCAAGCATAGAGGCCCGTGAGACGAGTAAGGCCCAAAAATTAGAGTTCATTCTTATTGAAATGTATTATTAATCATTAAATAATTGTATTGAACAAGTAATAACATTAATGTTAATAATATATGTTGTTATCGTTTAATTTTGTGAGGCCTATTCAGTGATAACAAACTAAGGTAACAAATTTAACGTTTAACATGGGTCATTGATTACTGTGCAATCTTACTTTGGTCACAGAGAAGTATTTTACTTCTCTGTGCTCTACTGCTTATTCCTGCCAACATTTTGAAACATCAAGTTACCTTGAGCCTGGAGTCATGAACGTTGACTGGGGCTTTTAATATTGTGTTATTATACATTTTAGTTTTGCCCTAATAGTAATTGTATGTAGTTGTGTGTGGATCTCTGTGTGTTATGTAGTTTCACTACATTTCCTTGCTGGGTGGACTTAGTAGTGTTAGTAAAAATATATGACTTCTACAATAAATTTATTCATAAATTTGGATATAGACCTTAGTGCTATTTACATTTAAGTTTCTATATTAATTATCATGTATAGGCTAGGTGTAATAGACTATCTAATTCCATAATGGCTGATGTTTGCAGTGGCGACATCAATGGCCGCTACAAAAAAATGGGTAGGGATAAAAATTTAATAAAATCATTTTTGAACCTCCAAAACATGAGGGAACAATAAATAAAAAATATTAAAAATGGTCGAGCAACCGAATTATTTTTTATTGGATCACTTGATATGGATTAACCCAGAAGGGTTAGGTGATATAGTGGGCAACTGCAGGATAAGCCAGCTAGATTAGGGGTTTTTTCCTGTATTCAGCTAGCACGGATATTAGATAATTGGCAATCTATTTGTGTTGGTATTTGTCGATTGACGATTTTCAAGTAGAAGTGCCTACAATTCAGTAAATTTTCGAGCCAGTCCGTTTTTTCATCTGTTTGTTGCTACACGGTGTGGCAGAGGTGCCCATTCCCCCCTCCCCCAAAGCCTGAGGCACAATTCCCCCCCACGCCAGAGTAGCATTCCCCCCCCCCCATTTTATGCTGCACACTATTTAAACCCCCCCCCCCCTCTTCGCCAATTTAATTGGCAATTTCCCCTTACCACAAAATATAAAATTTCAAGTATTTAGTTAGGTGAGGTGAAGAAAAACAAACTTGCTGACAGTAAAAATAAAATGTTTAATAGGAAGAAGAGTCATTTAACAAAACAAATTTACATCTACTCTAACTAATGGATGAATTGGAACTTGAAATTTACAACTCAGAATCTGCATTGTCAGCCAACCTGTTCAAACAACTTTAATAGCATGAATATTACTTTGGCGAAAAAAAGTATCTTGTAAGAATTAGACATATAGCCCATTGAAAACGGAGTCACGAAATCATAACGGGAAATGAAGTTGCAAAATCTTAAACGATCTTAAGCAATCATAATCAAATCTTAAACAAAAACAGCTATTGCACAACATTCACAGATTATTTAAAATGATTATACGTCTAAAGCTAAATATAGCATAAATTACACATTGGCTTGTTATAAAATGGAATATAAGTACCGTAGTTCTTTTAGATAATAAATTACAATCTATGATAAGCTTCATAAGCTAAGCTTGATAAGCTTGATAAGTCTTCATAAGCTTGCGATTTTTTTTCATATCTGAGATTTTTTTACACAAGCCTGGACAGTCCTAGTATAATTAACTACAAGGAATATATAAAACAACAATTTCCAGATAAAGTAACCTACTATGTTGTTGCTGTTGTTAACAGAACTTTCAACTAAGCAACGTCAACCGATGTAATCTCTCTTTAGAAATACGATGTTTATTTTAAGGTTCTGATTGTTTTAACTGTGTCTTTTTGTAATTTGTATACATCCGTAGTGTGGATATTATTTTCTCAATATATCAGGATATAGTTCAAAATAAAAAATAAAAACAAACAACAAAACTTAAAACAAGTTAACTAAAGAGACAGTTTATATCCTCTTGCCAGACTATGCATGTCTACTTATATGGCTCAGAGTCAGAGATATGATGCATTATACATTAACCGACTGAATAAACAACTTTAAAGATAAAAAAAAATAAATACATACAGTATAAAGGACAGTTCTAATATTGCAGACGAATTTACTTTACTAACATCAACATGATCTTTTGTACAAAAGTAGTTTTCTTCGTTATGTGGTCGTTTTAGCAAATGCCTCGATGATCTCATTGTTTTCAAGAATATCGCTTTCGCTTGATAGAACAAGAAGATTTGACAACCATGAGTCTCCTACTGCTCTTGAGGCGGTTTTTCACTATCTTTAGTCTACTCATAGTTCTTACGGCAGAGCAACTAGTTACGGCCAACGACAGCAATACGTACAACTAGTACGGCTTTACAAAACCTCTCAAGACCCATTGATCTAGCATTCTATCATCATTTTCTCCTCTTTCTTCAACATCACTGGTGACTTCTTCAGCTTCGGGTTCAGGTTCTTCACTTTTTTCACATAAATCCAAGACAGAAATGTTTTTATGAGTTGCCTTATAAATTGGTGAAAATGCTTCTAGCTCTGAAGCTACAAGGACTTCATCCAGCCCATAATAATCGCACAGATTTTTTATTGATTTGGTGGAAAAATGTGTTCTTTTTTCAGCCTCTTCAGAAATTTTCAAAACTCCTCCGTGAGTAAAAAAAGGACATCTGTACCAGTAACTTTGTTGACAGCTCAGGGAAAGGATCGTTGACTTGACCAATTAACGAATCGAGTACTGGAAAATATGTTTCTACTCTCATCCGCTTTGCTGGTTCTTGAGGGCGTTCGTCAAGTGACAGTTCGTCCATAAATCTTTTTCTTTTACGGTTTCTCGGCATATGGTTAAATCTGAAATATTATGATGAGATAAAAACATATCAACTGAGCCACGTACATTGTCCCATTCCTCTTCACTTCTTAGCTTTTCCAGCTTGGATTTTGTGTCATTCATTACTGCTGGAATAACTCCATAGTAATTTATTTGGCTTGAAGACAAGTTGTGATTGGCGACAATACTTTAAAGATAGCTGCTGCCACATGCATCGCACAGATGTTTGAATAATCTGTCATGCCTTTTATTATTCCTCTGGCTGACACCTTTGTTTCTGTGTCGGACTTCTGGTCTGCAATAATATCTTCAAGGGTCTCTTTGATCGCTGTGAAGCAGGAAAACACGGGTTTTAGCCCTTCAGTTCTACTTGACCAACGGGTTGTTTGAACTCGTTTCAAGCTTTTCTTCTTCTTTGTCGAGCCTTCTTTGGCTAAATTTTCAAGAAACATATGGTGACGTCAATGTCCTGACATGAAGACGTACATCTCCTGAAGAAGAGAAAACATATTCCTCATGTGTGGACTGACATCAATGGACTGTTCTACGACTAATGCAAATCTATGTGAGCAGCACCACACGTAGAGAGCTTTTGGACACTCTTTAAGGACAAGTGATTTCAAGCCGGCATAGCGGCCCCTCATGTTGCTGGTCCCATCCATTCATTGACCAACTATGCCACTAAGGTCTATTCCCAAGGTTGTTAGCAGCTTTTTTGCCAGATTTCCCCCAGTAGTTTCTCCAGTTTTGAACACTTTAACTAACCGCTCCTGCGGTTTTACTTCATTTTTTTATCTCCATTTACATCCAAATGTTCTACATATCGAACCAAAACTGCAGTACACTCTTTTTTGCTGATTTCTTGCGTCCAATCCAAAATCACTGAATACGTATAACTGTAATTGATATCAGAAACTATTCTCTGTATTACTAGGTCATTCATCACACCCACCACATCATAAACATTTCTGTAACTCAGAAAGTTTGAACTTAATTTTCCATGTTGGCTTTTGCTTTTTTCAATTTTATCATGGTAAACTCTCACATCGGGATTATATTTAGCCAGCAGTTTAAACAGTTTGAACAACTTTCCTTTAGAAAAATCTTTCTTCCGAAATGTCATCATTTCCTCGGCCAAGTAACGACAGCAATCTATGACTGCTGACAATACTTCCCTATTGTGATGAACTCGATCGTCATGTAATGATCCAGGGAATATTTTTTTAGAAAGCCACAGAATTCGTGTGATTTGGGAGGAAATGTGGGCTTTTGACTTCTCATGATGCTCAATACGTTGTTCTCCATGACGGCTGGTCCAAACCTTGCATCCAGTTGTTGCCCATGAGTTTATATCGTTAGGTAAAGAAAATAATGTGCAGAGTAGGCAAAACACAGAATCATTTTTGATACTATAAACAAACCAGTCTCTGGATTTCGTAGTGCCGTTTGATAACGCAATATTCTTCCAAGCAGGATTAAATCTCCTACCACTGGTTGAAGGGAACGACATAGATGACAGTGGCTGATTTTTTAATTTGAGACATAAATTGATTTCTTCTGATCTTAACTTCTTGTTGGCGAAATCAGCAGGGTCATCAAAATTCTGAACACCCAATGCATCAGCCTCCTCGGATTGCGTGAAATCTGGTTGAGTAGTGACATGACGGTCCTCAGTTTGTAATATTCCAACTCTTGATTAGGCGCTAAGTCTAATATTTCCGGTGTTGGCGAAGACGCAGATGCAGAACGGCTGGTAGATGGCCTTTAATCAGTGTTTTTTAATGATGACACTGAACTCATCAATATTATCATTGACTGCGGTGAATGTGGCTTGAAGATTGTTTGATACAGAGGTTGGCGGCGCTACGTTTGTAAAATCTTCATTTAGATCCAAACTGAAAAA